GTTTGGGACCTCACAAATGGAGCCAAAGCATGCTTGGCAGCTTGTAACACACGAAAATTTTTCAGGAGTTGGGATTCAAACCGCGACCCTTCCAGAATATATATGATTACATGGCAAACCTGCATTACTCATTGGGTTAATGATAGTATTACCCCTGTGCATGAAAACTTCAAAAGTTCATTCTGAAAGTTATAACTACTCAGAAAGAGAAAAAGGTAAAACAACATGGTCATACACTGAGTACAGGTAAGTTCTTGTACTAGTACCAGAAACAAAACAATGCCCAGGGAAATTCTACTTCTATGAAATTTGCACTCATTTTTTTCACAAACTTTCTACGTTTAAACATGGCTTATGAGTTATAACCCAATCCAGAAGTCTAAACCCTATACAGAGTTTGTAGTTTGTACACATGGGTCCATAACAAAAATGTTCAATTTTTTTTTTACATAAGATACAAACAAGGACCATTTCTGCTCAATTTCGCATTAAATTAGTACATATCAAAATCGCAATATATGCAACTAAAAATACTAGAGAGAAAAAGAGCAAAAGAAGAACAACTTACAGAGAACATGAACAACAGCCCCTGAAGGTCCCCAAAGTCGTGCTCTTCTACCGGTGAGTCAAAACCCGACCCGGACTCCGAGAACCCATCGTCCATGGCGGGGCAGCGAGTGGAGCAGAACTGCAAAAACAGAATGCCCTTTTGCTGTTCATGGAAGTAACTGATTCTTCGCCACCTGAACCAGTCCCTGAGCTCCTCTTTCTCAAGACAGAGGCTTTTATCAAGATTGCCCGACCCGAACACATTGAAGTCGAGGATCCGGTTGATGAGTTGGGCCGAGTCGTCGGGGCTCCGCCCGATGAAGCCCACGACAACCACGCCGTCGGAGGAAGGAGGGTCTGAGGAGGAGGGTACCGGAAGGGTTTGGGAGGGTGAATAGGAAGTGGGTGTGAATGTGGTGGGTGAAGGAGGTGGGCGGACTAGGACCCGCATGGATGATGGGTTCGGGTTCGGGTTTGGGTTGGGAGTGTCCATGGGTGCAAGTTGGAAGGTCCTGTTGGGAGTCTGCTTATTTGGTTTGGCTTCTTTGGACTTCCATTGACAGAGAGAGAGAGAGATATGGTTTCTAGGTTTGGGATTTCTGAGTTGTATACATACCCAAATATCCGTTGCAGCTATTTTAATTTATCAATTCGTCTAGTGTTGATCGAAATTTCATTTCGAAAATTTCTACTAACTAGATATACATTTGACAAAGTTGGAGTTGGGCTAGTGTAGATCCAATTCGTCTTTTAATTGATCAATTTTTAGAGTGCTAGACCTATAAAGCTTTGAGACTTTTTTTGATTCATACAACATGAACTTTTTGTTTTGGGCCATAGTGATTATTTTGAAATTTTACAAAGCTCATCCTGTTTGATAAGAGATACAAAAATTACTTATTGTGAATAATTGTTGTGAGAGAAAGTAATTAGAGAAAGCTTCTGAGTGTCCTTTTGTATGTCATATTCATTGTTACTGAAAGTAATGAAGATTTTTCATTTGATAAAAAAAAATTAAAAAATTGAGGACGCGCTAGACTTTAATGAAACTTTCATAATTCCAAAAATACTCGCATCTAATTCCACGCCTGCTCTTTTGTTCGCTCGTTTTCAGTCTTCACACCCTTTCACGCCCTCTCTTCCCAAAGCTCTTCTCTTCCATTTGTTCTTCTTTTTTGTTGTTGGATCAATTGAAGTAAAGCCACAAGACTCAGGTAAGATACACCTTAGGTTTATTTATTCTCAATTTCATTATTACCTTTCGCTTTAATTTCTAGGATTTTAATTGCTGTTTTGTGATGAATTTTGTGTTTGTATTGTTAAGCCAAAATCGAAATTACTCTCTATTTTTCTTTTTGCTTTTACTACCCACCTTGTGTTTGGTGTTTGGGATTAAGTAAGGGTTTGGGTTTTAGTATAAAGAATGTTGTTGCATATCGCTTGGCAAATTGGAATTTTTAGTTTGGCTTTGGGGGTTAGTCATTTTGACAAGCCTCTAGTTTGGCTTAGTTCTTTTCTGATAGATGATTTGATGGGGTTGCTACTTTTTGGATGATTAGTGTGGCTCAGTTGTTGTTTTTCTTGGGTTTTATAATCACTCTATGGTATTAAAAAAAAAAACATGAATATGAATAATTCAAAGTTCCTCATTGTTCTGAAGTAAATTGGAGACCAGAAAAACTCATTCGAGCATATGAATTTTAAATTATTTTTGTTCTACTCCAATATGCAGAAGGTCAAAATTCATTACAAATACAAAAGCACGAGTACTCTTAAATACGTATATAGATCCAATAAGCAGAAACATGCTTCTGCCATTTTATTCTTCTTTAGTTTTTGAGTCTCATACTTCTGCAGGGTTGATATACTTGTACAATTGAAGATCAACTCTCCTATATTGATATGGCCTTTTTCAATATGCCTGTCAACTTATGTACTGATATATGTTATACAAATTATTTACAAAGATTATAATAATTTCGTTCAAACTACTGGAGGACAGGGGCAAAATCGAAAGTAGTTCGGCATGTTTCCCGTGTTTGCAACATTGGTCAAATAAATTAGATCACTTTATTTTTTTGGGTTAAGTAAGGATGTTTGGGTTTTAGGACTTGGGTTCAATGTTTGCAAGGACATTAGGGTGATTGGGGTTAAGTAAGGATGTTTGCAACATTTTATATCTCCAAGGAGATCTTCAGTCGAAAGACCACCGTGCAGAGCAACTGAGAAGGTTTATTCCTTCGATAAAAAAAAGAGAGAAGGTTTATTCCTACAAAGAAGTTCCTCTCAATGTAAAATTGCGTAGAGCAGAGTGAGCAGAAGGGAAGCACCTGAATTTTAAGAATACCAGTGAGTTGAAAAGCGCCTGTGTAATTCAAAGATAGAACAAATATAAAAGAGCATCAAATTTTTTTTTTTTTTTTAAAAACAAAGTAATAAAAAAAGGCAACTCTAGGCAATGAGCATGCAAAAACGCCAAAAATTAAAAGTCAAGGTATCATAAGAACAGCACAGCACCCATCCGTTGGATGGCTGGGGCTATTAAGATACATTAGGTCAAAGGCAATGGATTGACCAAAAAAAGGTAAAAGGCTATGGCTTCCTTCGTGGTTGTTTGACCAAATCTTTGACCACAATCAGTTATCACCAAAAGTAAAAATCTAGCTAATGAGCTTCTAATTAAACTGGTTTTAGAATGCTTAATTTGTTTTTTTTTAGTGAAATAGTACAGATTCAATTGAAATCAGGGCACAAATCCAGAATTCATTAGTAAGAACACAACCCCAAATGGAGGTTCTTGCAATACATAAACTGTAAAATCATAACCAAATATGCACAAGTATTACAAGACAGTGAAAACAAATATACATATTGAATCTCAGCTCATATGAAGTTACATATGAGGAGGACCCAAATCCCTGCAATAACCGGTGCTTCAAGAAGATGAAGAGATAAAACAATCTCTCAAACATCATGGACATGAAACACTTGAAAAGTGGAGTGCTTAATTTGTTAATTATTTTTCATGGGCTAATTATAATAATAATGCTTAATTTGTGATTCCCTTGATCCCCAGCCCTACAGTAAAAATAACTAGACCCACGTGATCTTCCCGTTTAATTGAAATCTTTCTTCCAACTAAAGGGTAGGTTTGAGAAGGTAGCATTTTTTTTTAGAGAACCTCGATGGAACGAGGGAAACTTTATTGATAAAACGAAAAATTACAACGGGGGACAACACTCTTGACGCCGACTCAACAAATCACATAATAGGGCGTTCTGAATAAGATTAGGGGGCATCTCAAATCAAATAAAACTGTCCACGGTTAAGCTGCATATATTCTTCCTACGGAACATGAAAACAAGTACATAATACATTTGTCATCACATTACACTATTAGACCGGTTTATATATAAATGTTTGCAATGTGGATTGTATCTAATGTTCAAACCCTCAATATTGGACGTTCGAACGTCCAACTACAATCTACACAATGCTGAGGGTTTGAAACGCGCTACAATCCAAATTGCAAACATTCGCACTTGAATATTTTTAACAAGATAGCACTATCACATTCATCGTTTTCCATTCTTACTTGAATTCCCTTAAAAGACTAGGCAATGGCTTCCTTCAGCTCCAGAAAATTGTCAACTGGTGATAACTGATTGTGGAAACGAAAAACCTGAACAGCTAGACCTTCCAAATTCCTGCTATGTTGGAGACCATGTTTTCCAGGAAAATAAATTGCACTAATGATTGTGTTTCAGTATTTTCCCTAAAGAATCCCAGCAGAAAAATGTTCTTCAATTTGTTGATTCAAAAGAAGCAGAAGGAACTGGTGCCTGCAGAAGTGAATCAGAACTTTCCAGAACCCTTTCTGTAATACCACATGGCATGCTAGATTTCAGTTCTAATGTTGCAGAAATAAGGAGTCCCAGAATGTGGATAATACTGCATCAGTATCTGAAAACAACGAAACAGCGGTTGAGAGTTACAACCTGGACTCATAGTCAAGGAATGACTTTCAGCTTCATTGTCAAGACTGTTCTTTGAAATTGGATAGTGTGGGAGATTTCACGTCCAAGCTAAACGCGTGAAAGTGCAAGTTGAGCCCAAAGATTTCAGAACCAAAGATTGCAACTCACCTGTTGAAAGTTGCTCTGGTGTCCCTCAGTTACAGACTGAAGATGACAAAAGCCATTGTTTAACCATTACCAAGAATATAATTGTATTACATATTCAAATGAAAGGAATAAATGGATTTATACAGGCTATATGCCCAATAAGTAGCCCATACTAATGAGACAATGACAGTAACAATAAGCAATAAGCTAAAAATAAACTGTTTGATCCATAGGAGAAAGTAGTAAATGGCAGTCTTATGTGTCGTCAAACTAGACTTTCCATCATAAAAGGATATTGTATCAACACATAGTTTACTAGAGAATAAAGGATGTATATTTCGCCTGTTCATGAAAAATTTACATCTAAACTTACAGCCAGTTACACTTGTACAATATATCTAATTAATCAGCCATGATTTCCTCCATAAAGGAATTGTAAGTCTGATCCATAAAGCAATTGGACCAGTAGCTGTTTTGGTCTAATGGTTGGCTGACCACATTATAATCATCATCGAGCTCTGCAAAGCTTGACAAGGGCTCTGCATCTTCTGCCAATAGTTCATTGGCTTCGAAGAATAAATTCGGATTGCAAAGGTTGACAAGGGCTCTGCATCTTCTGCCAATAGTTCATCGACTTCGAAGAATAAATTCGGATCATCATGATCATATGCATTCATATTATGTTGCCCTATTAATCCCGCTAGTTCATCGCTATTATACTCAAAATTACTCAGATTGCTGGTGGCTGCTTCCACTGGTCCGTCAATTTGATTAACACAAGGCTCTTCTTGGCCTTCAGCATTCTGAGGCAGTTGCTGCGAGTGTAACAATGGCGCTTCGCAGTCTAGTTCTGCAAAGATTTCATCAATGTCGAAGCTTTTATAATTGGTGTCAATCAAATATTCTTGATCATAAGTGGTACTGTCCTTGATCATCAACTGATTCTTCTCATCATTCATAATCTGTGGCCCCACTGAATTTTCAGTTTTCATCTCCTTTGTAGTTTGATCTCTTTTCATCTTCTTTGTAGATTGATCTCTTTTCATCTTCTTGTTTGATTGATCTTGAGACGAGCAATTCCTCTTTTTCCCAGAATTGTCCACCGAAGTATTCCCGTTCTCGTTCCAGAATTTCCGTTTTCTCCCAATAAAATCAAGATGAGATTTTCCATTAATCTCATCCACCTCATCCTTAACATTTTGGTAGGTTTCGGTTTCGCTCCAAGTACCACTGCCAGTCTTGCGTTGGATGAGCAAACCATTTCTCTGGAGCTCTGAAACGAAGTACAAGTCTTGATCCTTAAGTTGATCTCCTCCGTAATCTCTCCAAATTTCTGAGGGTTCTCGTTTGTTGCCGAAGAGGTTGCACTTGTGGATAACCTTGTTGTATTGCGGCATCGAAGTCAGAGGCCTTTTCTCCACCACCATCTTGTAGAGAAAGGAGCTGATGATTTCACGGTCCGTGGGGCGGAACCGGAAGCCGAGCAGCTGTGTCACGCCGGAATTAGCCATGAGAGAGAGAGAGAGAGAGTTAGAGAAAAGACCTTCACCACACAATCTTGTCGAATGACACCAATTTACCGTAACGGATTTCCCACCGCTGGACGTGTTCATATGCACTGCTGATCCGAGCAAAGAACCACACAATCTTGATTTAACTTTTGCGCAAAGAAGGAAGACTGTGTTCTTGTTCAAGTGAAGTGCGCAATAGTGTATATTTATAAGCTGAGAGTTACTTGGAAACAAAGAAAGCCGTTGGGGAGAGAGAGAGAGTTTTCCTTATTGATTTTAATTTTGGTCAAAGATTTGGTCAAACAACTTTTATCACGAATTTTGTATATTTATAAAAATACTCCCGAAAAAAAAAAAACTATTTCTCTCTGTTTTACCCGATCCCCTCCCCACCCATCAAACTCACCCCCTATAGCCCAGCACCCTAGCCACAGAACTCAACCCAGATGCTGCTCTCTCTCTCTCTCTCTCAGTTGAGAGGTGCAGACTTTAAGAGCCTGAATTGCTGGGCTGATTCAAATCTCAGTTAAAAGTCCCTTCATATTATTAGTACTGAAAATTTGGGTGGTATCTTTTGATTGTGGGGTGGTGGCTATTAAAGAAACAAAGAGGGAAAATAGAGAAGAAGGAGGGGTGTGCTGGTGGAGGCGAAGAGACAGATGATGGGGTGAGGTGGGGTTAATCTTTTTAGTTTTTTCTATTATCTTTTTCTCATTTTTTAAATTGATTTTAATGTTTTTTTTAAAATTGGAGATACCAACCTGTGAATGGAAATTGACCCAATAAATTTGTGCTTCGTATCCATTTGGTCAATTTCCATAAAGAAAATCTGACACCTGGATGACATTGAATTTCCAGTTGCCCTGAGCGGTGGCCCCCATGGTGCCAGCTGCGTTGCCATGGTAAGCGTTTCTCAACGAGATGATGTCATGGCTCCCCGTGTACAACCTCGCTATCAACATCGCCAACTCGTTCTCTCTCTCTCTCTATATATATATATAGAGAGAGAGAGAGAGAGAGATTACTTGTCCAAAAACGAAGCTCCTCGCCAAGATCAGAAGCAGAAATTGTATCTGTGAATTCCAACCAAGATCAGAAAAACGCAGGCAGAGATACTGACACATGGTGTATCCTCCTTAATTATATGACCGATCAATTATATTTGAGTATCCTATTGTCCCATTATAAAAATTGATTGCACACAGAATTAATTTTATTAAACTTTTTTTGAAGCTTCATAGTTGGTGCTATTGCTTTAAGTTTAAACAATTGATGAAAACATAAGTAAATCCGAAATTGAATGCGGTGAAAGTGACAAAACCAAAACCAACTCAGCAACTGCAAGTCAGAAGTGAAAAAGTGGGAATGGTGTGCCATGGTTTAGTGACAATGCTTGTTCTCTAGAGTCGATGACAAATTAAACTCTTATAAGAGTAGTGTTCTGACACATTTTGTTAACCCTTTTCAAGGCATGAAGGTAATAGATTTTCAATTAAGCAAGCTGATGATTGTGCACCTTTGGAACAAAGACAATCCTATATTTCCTCTATTTGGTTTTGTATATGTATTTGTTCACCCTTTTCATGAACCAGTGTAGGAGTGAAGCTTTCCTTACAAGTTACAACTGCTCAGACCGTAGGCAAAAGAACACCATTAGAAGTATGTTCCTGTAGGGAGCATGCTGAAGAAATATAGGTCTTCGTCGACCAGGCCAGGCCCTCCGAACTGATCCCAGACCACCCAGGGCTCTGTTTCGCCCAAGAAATTGAACTCATGCACAAAGTTGCTGTAATACGACGCCATTAATGGATCCTTGGTTATCGCTTTCTTGTAGAGGAAGTAACTGAGGAGTTCTTGATCTGTAGGGCGAAACCTAAAACCCAACAGCCGATTATACTTAGCCATTGTTAACCCAACAGCCGTTTGCTTTCTTTTTCTCTCTCTCTCGCTCTCTCTGCTTTCTCTCTCTGTTTTGCTTTAATCTTTGATGGGAAACGAGAAAGAAAGAAAGAAAGACTGAGTTTGCTTGTGACTTGAACTGATTTATAGCCTCGGTGGTCTCAAGTGTTTGACCTCACTACCCAGCTGTTGGATGTAATCTCATCCAACGGACAGCTGTCTTCCAATATCCAACCGTTGTTTCTTAACTAATTTTGTCACTTAGCTACATACGGGTCGCTTTCAAAAGTTTTCAAAAAAATATATAAAAAAAAGTTTTGTAGCACATTTTTTAGTTTTTATTTTTATAGTAAATTGAGCTTAAACCCATAAAATTCATTTTAAATCACCTACAACCCTTTTTTTTAGTTTTCTATTTAAAATACCCAATTTTTTCAAATAATCCCGATGACTATGATCCAACTAAGCAAGTTACCTAATATAACTTAAAATCTAATTTATTGTATTTTTCAGATTCCAAAACTACTCTTATTTATAAGTTAATGTGTTATGAGGGGGTGTAACTAATGACACACGTTGAATTTGGAAAGTTCTCCAAATAGTTGTAATGGATGTAGGAATTAATTTAGAAACTTATTTGAAATTAAATATTAAATTCCATATTAAAGTATTAGTAATCTATTTTTGAATTAATGTTGTTTTCCTTTTATAAATTAGGACTAGTAATCTATTTAACTTATTAGTAATTTAAATTCAATATTAAATTTAGGAATTAATGTTGTTTTCCTTTTATGAATTATATGACTAGTATTTTATTTTATTATAGTTTTATGAATAATAGTGTACATTCTAATTATGTCGAAAAATAATTTGATAATCTATTTATTGTTTGTTTTTTGAAAAACATTTTTTTTAATGAACCTATTTTTTCTCTAAATAATGTACCTATTTTTTTTTTCTCTAAATAAAGTACCTATTACTTGTTTTATGAAAAATAATTTGATCATCTTTTTATTGTTTGGTTTATGAAAACAATTTTTTTTTTAAATGAACTTATTTTTTCTCTCCAAATAATGTACTTGTTTTGTTTTCTCTAATAATGTACCTAGTAAAACAATTTACCTAGAGAAAAAATACTTTTATTTTGCCTTCGAGATTCTGCTTCTCGAGGTCCAGCTCAAAATATTAGAGCTTGGCTTAAACTTGCAACTGCTTCTTGTCAAGTGAGGTAAATAACAATTGGAAATACTAGTTTGACGACACATAAGACTGCCATTTTGGATATACACCCATGAAGTTTCCATGCTATTTTCTGTTGAATGGGGGCAAACTGTTTGATAAAATGCCTCAAAGAAGGCTAAGGCGGGGGAAAAGGGGCAAAGAAATGGTTCAGACTTGAGCTGCATTAGGCCAAAATTTACAGGTTGTTGCTAGGGCAGAGTTTACAAGTTCTTGCTTCCTGGATCCACCAGTGATTGTCACTGTCATTGTCTCATGAGTATGGGCTGCTTATTGGGCATATGGACTATATAAATCCAGTTATTCATTTCATTTGAATATGTAATACAATTATATTCTTTATGGCTGATATAAGTTGATAGTTAGGCATTTAGATTAATGGCTGATTAGTTGTCAATTTGCCTAGTTTTGGGTCTAGGCTGTTCAATTCAGTTATGGTCTCATTTATCAGCAATTTTTTCTTGAATCCTACATAAATCAGTGTACTCTTTTAATTGGACATGCAATACAATGATCTTCCTTTCCAAATTTTTCTTTCAACAGGACCATCTTACAGCATGACAGATATATTAATGATGCAAATGCTTATGAATAATTTGGAAATATGTTTGATTTTTATTGATTTCAGTGGGTTGTTGTGGTGATTTTATTTGCAGAAACAAAAGGGCTATGCTATTGACCTCAGACGCCGAAGAGTTGATTGAAATAATTTTTTGTCTATTTTCTGATTGCTAACTTCAAGGTCTTCTTGTGCTTTTGCATGAATGCATGCAGTCAGCTATCAGTTACTTCACCAATGAAGAATGGGAATCTAGCTGTGAGAAGATAGTAAAATCTCTTGCTTGCAGGTTTTTGACTCTACTTGGTTTCACATTTATGTAGTTGGATTGGAGTTTTTGCTAATTGGAATGGGGATCACTCTTTTGTCTATGTCAAGCAGAGTTTTTTTTTATCAGTTAGTGATTCTGAACTTTTCTGCACCTTTTGTCAGTGATCAATTAGTGATTTTGAACAAATAAGTGGCAAGGAGGACAGCTTTGTGTGGGGCATATGTGCTTTTGGAGAACAGGTATTGTGTTTTTAGCATAAGAAACAAACTTTCATTTAAGGAAAAATAGTGAAAAGCAGAGAGGACATAAGACTTGACTGTAGGCCATAGGGCACCTTGTCCTCTATTTGTGATCTTTCTTTCATTCCAAAGACCGGGTTTTCATTGATTACATAAAACCTCTACATTTTCTCAACTGATGCTTGGTTATTGTTATGTAGATTTTAATAGGAGTTGGATCTTTAAATATCTACTAGGTTCTTAATTTTCGTTTAACTTTGTGATTACAGAAAACCCCACCTCCTCTATCTTTTCCAGAGATTAAAAGTTGCAGTCTTTCATTAATGATGGGCTCAACTCTGTGATTGATATCTCTACTGAAAATGGTTAGTTATAATGCTTGGCTTTCTAGTTATCAGTAGTCATAAATTATTGACATGCATTATTTGCATCAAGATGAGTTTCCTCTTATGCATATTATGCCCTGTACAGTAATGTGGCCTCGCAAAGTATATATTTATTTGCTGATGTTTTGCAGGAGACATCTTCCTTGAAGGATTACTAGTAAATGGCTGGCCTTCAAAATTGGTTTTTGGCCAGTCGTCACGTAGAAAAATCAGTAGCCACATGGACCTTTAATTTGAGTGAGTTTATTTGTCACCCCGAGCCTGTCCTTTTAATCCTCATGAAATTTCTTGTGATATGTTTACCCTATTGTTTTTCAGTGCTATATTCACCCAAAGAAGATTTGAGGGCGTCTGCATGTGACTCTGGGGTGCTATTCTCTCATTTGAAAATAAGGTGAGCTTGGTCTTTGCTTTTTGGCTTGGAGACAAGTTTGATTGGATAACATGTTAAGGTAATAATTCTGGTATTAATTCTTAACCTGGTTGATTTACAGCCTATCAAAATTGATTGGTTTCCTACTATTCTGAGTTAAAAATAGCTCTTGAAAGCTATGGTTTTCTATTCAACTTTTCATCTAACACGGATTCTGCTAGTTCCAGTAAGTTTCTTACCTTCTTACCAGTTTTCATGCATATTTCAGGTTAGATGTAATTTTTTCATGAACAGGAGAAATATACATCCTTTATTCTGTATCTGTAGTAAACTATGTGTTGATACTTGATAGAATATCCTTTATGATGTATATGTGCAGTAATTTCGAGAGAATTTTATTCTCTGCTTTCATGTTGAAGCATTTTGGAAGGATTTTCTGGGTGCCTTGATCTTAATGTATATACCAACCTCTGTCCAACCTGGGAATAGAAATGGACCCAATAAATTTGTGCTTCGTATCCATTTGGCCTCCCCTACCAAAAACGAAACAAACTTCTAGTGCTCAAAGGGTTTATTTGTTCTTCAAATCTGACAAATGCTATACTCCAATGATGTTTTAAGATGGTTTTTTCAGGTGTTAATAGATCAGTAGTGATTTTCAGATTTTCTAATTTCTTTCCTAGTTTTTGTCATGCAATATACCAAATGTCATGTAGAATTTCATAGTTTTGCATGTTTCAGTTATTAATCTTCTCATAATACTTTTATTTTGCCTTCTAGATTCTGCTTGTCGAGGTCCAGCTCAAAATATTAGAGCTTGGCTTAAACTTGCAACTGCTTCTTGTCAAATGAGGTAAATAACAATTGGAAATACTAGTTTGACGACACATAACCATTTACTTTTCTCCTATGGATCAAACAGTTGATTTATAGGTTGATGTCTGTTATTGTTTTTAGCTTATTGCTTATTGTTACTGTCTCATTAGTATGGGCTGCTTATTGGGCATATAGCCTATATAAATCCATTTATTTCTTTCATTTTTATGGCTGATATAAGTTGATAATTAGGCATTCAGATTAATGGCTGATTAGTTGTCAATTTGCCTAGTTTGTGGTCTAGGCGGTTCAATTCAGTTATGGTTTAATTGGATATGCAATATAGTGATTTTATTCCTTTCTAAATTTTTCTTTCAACAGGACCATCTTATAGCTTGACAGAAATATTAATGATGCAAATGCTTATGAATAATTTGGAAATATGTTTGATTTGTATTGATTTCAGTGGGTTGTTGTGGTGCTTTTAATTGCAGAAACAAAAGGGCTATGCAGAGTACCTAAGGACTTGAACTGCCTAAGAATTGTGGAATGCATTTCGGGAGTCAATACTCGCTGTAAGCTGTTTAGAATTACAGTTGCCGATTTTTGTTTATCAATAGTTTAGAGCATTATTCATTACTATTTGGAGATTACATGAGTCTTTATTGTCCCCTTTTGAGTTTTTACTTTTTCAGAGTTATTATCCGTATAAATAATTTAGCATTTTCACGTTTAATACTCATATTATACACGTACCTATGTATGTTTCATGTTTATTACACTTGATTTTTTACAAAATACACACAAAATTCACGTATTATACACATAACTTTAGCATATTATTGAATAAAAATAATATATATTAAAAAATTTAAATCTAGAAAGTATATATAAAAAAACAGGGAAATTAATAACTATAAAGTATAAACGAACAAAACTAGAAGGGTCCTTTTTTTATAATTTTTTTTAAATAAATAGTATAGCCGCCCGGCTCTACTCTTGCTAAATATAACATGCTTAAAGCGTATCGCCGCGCGGCTATACTATTTTTACACGTGGCAGTCCCCTTAGTATAGCCTCGCGGCTATACTCTGGTTTTTTTTTTTTTTTTAAAGCAAGAGTATAGCCGCTGGGATTTACTAAATTGTTTTTTTTTATAAATCGTATAGCCGTGCGGCTATACTCTTTACATAGATATTGTGAATTTTTTTTAAAAAAAATTGTTTTTCCTCGATTTTCGTTTATCGATAGTTTAGAGCATTATTCATTACTATTAGGAGATTACCCGAGTCTCTATTGTCCCCTTTGGAGTTTTTACTTTCCAGAGTTATTACCCGTATAAAGAATTTAGTATTTTTACATTTAATACTCGTGTTTTACACATACATACTTATTTTTCATGTTTAATACACTTGATTTTTTTCAAAATTTTAATAATACACACAGAATTCACGTATTCTACAAATAATTTTCGCATATTATTGAATAAAAATAATATATAAAGAATTTAAATCTATAAACTATATATATCGAAACTAGCAAATTAATATCTATAAAGTATAAACTAATGCAACTAGAAGGGTCTTTGTTTCTAAATTTTTTAAAATAAGTAGTATAGCCGTGCGGCAGTACCCCTTTTAAATATAATATACTACGGTTTGTTTTTATAAACAACTAGTATAGCCGCGCGGCTATACTACGGTTTTTTTTTAAAAAAAAAAAATTAAAAATTGTTGATTTTGTGATATGCAGAGTACCTTAGGACTTGAACTGCCTAAGAATTGTGGAATGCATTTCGATAGTCAATACTCGCTGTAAGCTGTTTAGAAGTAGAGTTGCCCATCAAATCTGTGGGAACCGAATTAAATCACCCTAGGTCAAATAATTCCTTCCATTTGGTGGATTATTTGCCCTAATTGGGAGTTACTCAATTCAATTGGGAGTTACCCAATTAAATTGGCAATTACCTAATTAAAATGGGGATTGATTTGATTTCTACCCCAATTAGGGATTTGATTTAAATCAAATAAATCAAATCCCTAATTAATCAAATCTCGCCTAATCGAGGAGGAATAATTCCTTTCCATCTACGGAATTATTCCTCTGAAACCCTAGCCTCCGAGGCTCCTATAAATACCTAGCTACACACAAGGGTTCAGGTACGTCTAAACTCCTACTGAAACTCTGCAGAAATTATCCTTCACAAACCCTAGCCACCATCTTCTTTCTCTCTCTCTCTCTCACACAAGGCTCCGGCCTCCACACACGGCTCCGGCCACCCGGTTTTCCTTGAAACACCCATCCCAACTTAGGCATCGGAGGGCCTTTGGCCAACACCCCCCGGGTGTGGTCCTTTTACTCCGATCTGTTTTGCAGGGATAGAGAGGTGCGAAGAAGATGAAGGAATCTTTAGGTGAATATTCTCGTGGGAGGAAATTTGCTCCCACAAATTGGTGCTTTCATTGAGAGCACGAAATATTAATAGATCAGTAGTGATTTTCAGATTTTCTAATTTCTTTCCTAGTTTTTGTCATGCAATATACCAAATGTCATGTAGAATTTCATAGTTTTGCATGTTTCAGTTATTAATCTTCTCATAATACTTTTATTTTGCCTTCTAGATTCTGCTTGTCGAGGTCCAGCTCAAAATATTAGAGCTTGGCTTAAACTTGCAACTGCTTCTTGTCAAATGAGGTAAATAACAATTGGAAATACTAGTTTGACGACACATAACCATTTACTTTTCTCCTATGGATCAAACAGTTGATTTATAGGTTGATGTCTGTTATTGTTTTTAGCTTATTGCTTATTGTTACTGTCTCATTAGTATGGGCTGCTTATTGGGCATATAGCCTATATAAATCCATTTATTTCTTTCATTTTTATGGCTGATATAAGTTGATAATTAGGCATTCAGATTAATGGCTGATTAGTTGTCAATTTGCCTAGTTTGTGGTCTAGGCGGTTCAATTCAGTTATGGTTTAATTGGATATGCAATATAGTGATTTTATTCCTTTCTAAATTTTTCTTTCAACAGGACCATCTTATAGCTTGACAGAAATATTAATGATGCAAATGCTTATGAATAATTTGGAAATATGTTTGATTTGTATTGATTTCAGTGGGTTGTTGTGGTGCTTTTAATTGCAGAAACAAAAGGGCTATGCAGAGTACCTAAGGACTTGAACTGCCTAAGAATTGTGGAATGCATTTCGGGAGTCAATACTCGCTGTAAGCTGTTTAGAATTACAGTTGCCGATTTTTGTTTATCAATAGTTTAGAGCATTATTCATTACTATTTGGAGATTACATGAGTCTTTATTGTCCCCTTTTGAGTTTTTACTTTTTCAGAGTTATTATCCGTATAAATAATTTAGCATTTTCACGTTTAATACTCATATTATACACGTACCTATGTATGTTTCATGTTTATTACACTTGATTTTTTACAAAATACACACAAAATTCACGTATTATACACATAACTTTAGCATATTATTGAATAAAAATAATATATATTAAAAAATTTAAATCTAGAAAGTATATATAAAAAAACAGGGAAATTAATAACTATAAAGTATAAACGAACAAAACTAGAAGGGTCCTTTTTTTATAAATTTTTTTAAATGGCTATACTCTTTTTAAATATAGCATACTTCAAGGGTATAGCCGCGCGACTATACTATCTTTATACGTGGCAGTCCCCTTACTATAGCCGCGCGGCTATACTCTGGATTTTTGTTTTTTAAAAACAAGAGTATAGCCGCTGGGATTTACTAATTTTTTTTTTTTTTATAAATCATATAGCCGGGCGGCTATACTCTTTACATAGATATTGTGAATTTAAAAAAAAAAAAATTCCTCAACTTTTGTTTATCGATAGTTTAGAGCATTATTCATTACTATTAGGAGATTACCCGAGTCTCTATTGTCCCCTTTGGAGTTTTTACTTTCTAGCGTTATTACTCGTATAAAGAATTTAGTATTTTTTCATTTAATACTCGTATTTTACACATACATACTTATTTTTCATGTTTAATACACTTGATTTTTTACAAAATTTTCAATAATACACACAGAATTCACGTATTCTACAAATATTTTTCGCATATTATTGAATAAAAATAATATATATTAAAGAATTTAAATCTATAAACTATATATATCGAAACTAGCAAATTAATATCTATAAAGTATAAATTAATGCAACTAGAAGGGTCTTTGTTTCTAAATTTTTTTAAATAAGTAGTATAGCCGTGCGGCAGTACCGCTTTTAAATATAATATACTACGGTTTTTTATTATAAACAAATAGTATAGCCGCGCGGCTATACTACGGTTTTTTTTTTTTAAAAAAAAAAAATTTAAAAATTGTTGATTTTGTGATATGCAGAGTACCCTAGGACTTGAACTGCCTAAGAATTGTGGAATGCATTTCGGTAGTCAATACTCGCTGTAAGCTGTTTAGAAGTAGAGTTGCCCATCAAATCCTTTTTAGTTATTTTGATCATAAGGTACTGAACCTGATTACAAGTTTGTTGAATTTAGTATCAAACAACTGTCCCCGTGAACTTTAATTTTAAGCTAGCACAATCTTCTGCGCCTCTTTATTAAGAAGACTGTATTCTTCTAGTAGCCACTTGCCGTGGTGCTCGCACCCTTGGTTCTCGTAGCGCAAATTCCTTTTTTGGCCGATAGGGTTTCCGGTCGTCTTGTCGTAAACCTTTTTCGAGAAGGCTTCGCTCCAAGTACCTCCGGCCTCAATCTTGCGTTTGATTCGCTTACCGTTTTGGCTTAAATTCTTGAGTTGGGTGAAGAAATATAGGTCTTCGTCGACCAGGCCAGGCCCTCCGAACTGATCCCAGACCACCCAGGGCTCTGTTTCGCCCAAGAAATTGAACTCATGCACAAAGTTGCTGTAATACGACGCCATTAATGGATCCTTGGTTATCGCTTTCTTGTAGAGGAAGTAACTGAGGAGTTCTTGATCTGTAGGGCGAAACCTAAAACCCAACAGCCGATTATACTTAGCCATTGTTAACCCAACAGCCGTTTGCTTTCTTTTTCTCTCTCTCTCGCTCTCTCTGCTTTCTCTCTCTGTTTTGCTTTAATCTTTGATGGGAAACGAGAAAGAAAGAAAGAAAGACTGAGTTTGCTTGTGACTTGAACTGATTTATAGCCTCGGTGGTCTCAAGTGTTTGACCTCACTACCCAGCTGTTGGATGTAATCTCATCCAACGGACAGCTGTCTTCCAATATCCAACCGTTGTTTCTTAACTAATTTTGTCACTTAGCTACATACGGGTCGCTTTCAAAAGTTTTCAAAAAAATATATAAAAAAAAGTTTTGTAGCACATTTTTTAGTTTTTATTTTTATAGTAAATTGAGCTTAAACCCATAAAATTCATTTTAAATCACCTACAACCCTTTTTTTTAGTTTTCTATTTAAAATACCCAATTTTTTCAAATAATCCCGATGACTATGATCCAACTAAGCAAGTTACCTAATATAACTTAAAATCTAATTTATTGTATTTTTCAGATTCCAAAACTACTCTTATTTATAAGTTAATGTGTTATGAGGGGGTGTAACTAATGACACACGTTGAATTTGGAAAGTTCTCCAAATAGTTGTAATGGATGTAGGAATTAATTTAGAAACTTATTTGAAATTAAATATTAAATTCCATATTAAAGTATTAGTAATCTATTTTTGAATTAATGTTGTTTTCCTTTTATAAATTAGGACTAGTAATCTATTTAACTTATTAGTAATTTAAATTCAATATTAAATTTAGGAATTAATGTTGTTTTCCTTTTATGAATTATATGACTAGTATTTTATTTTATTATAGTTTTATGAATAATAGTGTACATTCTAATTATGTCGAAAAATAATTTGATAATCTATTTATTGTTTGTTTTTTGAAAAACATTTTTTTTAATGAACCTATTTTTTCTCTAAATAATGTACCTATTTTTTTTTTCTCTAAATAAAGTACCTATTACTTGTTTTATGAAAAATAATTTGATCATCTTTTTATTGTTTGGTTTATGAAAACAATTTTTTTTTTAAATGAACTTATTTTTTCTCTCCAAATAATGTACTTGTTTTGTTTTCTCTAATAATGTACCTAGTAAAACAATTTACCTAGAGAAAAAATACTTTTATTTTGCCTTCGAGATTCTGCTTCTCGAGGTCCAGCTCAAAATATTAGAGCTTGGCTTAAACTTGCAACTGCTTCTTGTCAAGTGAGGTAAATAACAATTGGAAATACTAGTTTGACGACACATAAGACTGCCATTTTGGATATACACCCATGAAGTTTCCATGCTATTTTCTGTTGAATGGGGGCAAACTGTTTGATAAAATGCCTCAAAGAAGGCTAAGGCGGGGGAAAAGGGGCAAAGAAATGGTTCAGACTTGAGCTGCATTAGGCCAAAATTTACAGGTTGTTGCTAGGGCAGAGTTTACAAGTTCTTGCTTCCTGGATCCACCAGTGATTGTCACTGTCATTGTCTCATGAGTATGGGCTGCTTATTGGGCATATGGACTATATAAATCCAGTTATTCATTTCATTTGAATATGTAATACAATTATATTCTTTATGGCTGATATAAGTTGATAGTTAGGCATTTAGATTAATGGCTGATTAGTTGTCAATTTGCCTAGTTTTGGGTCTAGGCTGTTCAATTCAGTTATGGTCTCATTTATCAGCAATTTTTTCTTGAATCCTACATAAATCAGTGTACTCTTTTAATTGGACATGCAATACAATGATCTTCCTTTCCAAATTTTTCTTTCAACAGGACCATCTTACAGCATGACAGATATATTAATGATGCAAATGCTTATGAATAATTTGGAAATATGTTTGATTTTTATTGATTTCAGTGGGTTGTTGTGGTGATTTTATTTGCAGAAACAAAAGGGCTATGCTATTGACCTCAGACGCCGAAGAGTTGATTGAAATAATTTTTTGTCTATTTTCTGATTGCTAACTTCAAGGTCTTCTTGTGCTTTTGCATGAATGCATGCAGTCAGCTATCAGTTACTTCACCAATGAAGAATGGGAATCTAGCTGTGAGAAGATAGTAAAATCTCTTGCTTGCAGGTTTTTGACTCTACTTGGTTTCACATTTATGTAGTTGGATTGGAGTTTTTGCTAATTGGAATGGGGATCACTCTTTTGTCTATGTCAAGCAGAGTTTTTTTTTATCAGTTAGTGATTCTGAACTTTTCTGCACCTTTTGTCAGTGATCAATTAGTGATTTTGAACAAATAAGTGGCAAGGAGGACAGCTTTGTGTGGGGCATATGTGCTTTTGGAGAACAGGTATTGTGTTTTTAGCATAAGAAACAAACTTTCATTTAAGGAAAAATAGTGAAAAGCAGAGAGGACATAAGACTTGACTGTAGGCCATAGGGCACCTTGTCCTCTATTTGTGATCTTTCTTTCATTCCAAAGACCGGGTTTTCATTGATTACATAAAACCTCTACATTTTCTCAACTGATGCTTGGTTATTGTTATGTAGATTTTAATAGGAGTTGGATCTTTAAATATCTACTAGGTTCTTAATTTTCGTTTAACTTTGTGATTACAGAAAACCCCACCTCCTCTATCTTTTCCAGAGATTAAAAGTTGCAGTCTTTCATTAATGATGGGCTCAACTCTGTGATTGATATCTCTACTGAAAATGGTTAGTTATAATGCTTGGCTTTCTAGTTATCAGTAGTCATAAATTATTGACATGCATTATTTGCATCAAGATGAGTTTCCTCTTATGCATATTATGCCCTGTACAGTAATGTGGCCTCGCAAAGTATATATTTAGTTGCTGATGTTTTGCAGGAGACATCTTCCTTGAAGGATTACTAGTAAATGGCTGGCCTTCAAAATTGGTTTTTGGCCAGTCGTCACGTAGAAAAATCAGTAGCCACATGGACCTTTAATTTGAGTGAGTTTATTTGTCACCCCGAGCCTGTCCTTTTACTCCTCATGAAATTTCTGGTGATGTGTTTACCCTATTGTTTTTCAGTGCTATATTCACCCAAAGAAGATTTGAGGGCGTCTGCATGTGACTCTGGGGTGCTATTCTCTCATTTGAAAATAAGGTGAGCTTGGTCTTTGCTTTTTGGCTTGGAGACAAGTTTGATTGGATAACATGTTAAGGTAATAATTCTGGTATTAATTCTTAACCTGGTTGATTTACAGCCTATCAAAATTGATTGGTTTCCTACTATTCTGAGTTAAAAATAGCTCTTGAAAGCTATGGTTTTCTATTCAACTTTTCATCTAACACGGATTCTGCTAGTTCCAGTAAGTTTCTTACCTTCTTACCAGTTTTCATGCATATTTCAGGTTAGATGTAATTTTTTCATGAACAGGAGAAATATACATCCTTTATTCTGTATCTGTAGTAAACTATGTGTTGATACTTGATAGAATATCCTTTATGATGTATATGTGCAGTAATTTCGAGAGAATTTTATTCTCTGCTTTCATGTTGAGGCATTTTGGAAGGATTTTCTGGGTGCCTTGATCTTAATGTATATACCAACCTCTGTCCAACCTGGGAATAGAAATGGACCCAATAAATTTGTGCTTCGTATCCATTTGGCCTCCCCTACCAAAAACGAAACAAAGTTCTAGTGCTCAAAGGGTTTATTTGTTCTTCAAATCTGACAAATGCTATACTCCAATGATGTTTTAAGATGGTTTTTTCAGGTGTTAATAGATCAGTAGTGATTTTCAGATTTTCTAATTTCTTTCCTAGTTTTTGTCATGCAATATACCAAATGTCATGTAGAATTTCATAGTTTTGCATGTTTCAGTTATTAATCTTCTCATAATACTTTTATTTTGCCTTCTAGATTCTGCTTGTCGAGGTCCAGCTCAAAATATTAGAGCTTGGCTTAAACTTGCAACTGCTTCTTGTCAAATGAGGTAAATAACAATTGGAAATACTAGTTTGACGACACATAACCATTTACTTTTCTCCTATGGATCAAACAGTTGATTTATAGGTTGATGTCTGTTATTGTTTTTAGCTTATTGCTTATTGTTACTGTCTCATTAGTATGGGCTGCTTATTGGGCATATAGCCTATATAAATCCATTTATTTCTTTCATTTTTATGGCTGATATAAGTTGATAATTAGGCATTCAGATTAATGGCTGATTAGTTGTCAATTTGCCTAGTTTGTGGTCTAGGCGGTTCAATTCAGTTATGGTTTAATTGGATATGCAATATAGTGATTTTATTCCTTTCTAAATTTTTCTTTCAACAGGACCATCTTATAGCTTGACAGAAATATTAATGATGCAAATGCTTATGAATAATTTGGAAATATGTTTGATTTGTATTGATTTCAGTGGGTTGTTGTGGTGCTTTTAATTGCAGAAACAAAAGGGCTATGCAGAGTACCTAAGGACTTGAACTGCCTAAGAATTGTGGAATGCATTTCGGGAGTCAATACTCGCTGTAAGCTGTTTAGAATTACAGTTGCCGATTTTTGTTTATCAATAGTTTAGAGCATTATTCATTACTATTTGGAGATTACATGAGTCTTTATTGTCCCCTTTTGAGTTTTTACTTTTTCAGAGTTATTATCCGTATAAATAATTTAGCATTTTCACGTTTAATACTCATATTGTACACGTACGTACGTATTTTTCATGTTTATTATACTTGATTTTTTTACAAAATACACGCAAAATTCACATATTATACACATAACTTTAGCATATTATTGAATAAAAATAATATATATTAAAAAATTTAAATCTAGAAAGTATATATAAAAAAACAGGGAAATTAATAACTATAAAGTATAAACGAACAAAACTAGAAGGGTCCTTTTTTTATAAATTTTTTTAAATGGCTATACTCTTTTTAAATATAGCATACTTCAAGGGTATAGCCGCGCGACTATACTATCTTTATACGTGGCAGTCCCCTTACTATAGCCGCGCGGCTATACTACGGTTTTTATATTGAAACAAACGTATAGCCTCGCGACTATACTATCTTTACACGGCAGTCCCCTTACTATAGCCGCGCGGCTATACTACGGTTTTTATATTGAAACAAACGTATAGCCTCGCGACTATACTATCTTTACACGGCAGTCCCCTTACTATAGCCGCGCGGCTATACTACGGTTTTTATATTGAAACATATGCAGCCTCTTTATAAGGCAGATCACTGGTTTTGGGCAGTTCAACCGGAGACTTGAGCAGAATATCCCGAACCTCCTGTATGCTATTGACATGCTTACTATTCACGCTGACGAGGCGCTTGATCCTAGCAAATGAGGCAGGAGCAACTCCCATAAGGACCTTCTCAGCAGAAGAGACCCTCCTTGAGGAAAACTTGCTCGTGGCAGAAGAAGGTCTCGGCTGCTTTGGCTGTGGAGACGTATTCCTTGATCGTGAGACTGCGACTTCATCGTGGGCAGATCTACAGCTAGACTGCCTAAGCCAAAGTCCAATTGGCAAGTCAAATACCTCCTCAACTCAGGAGCCCAAATCCAAGAAGGAAGCCCAGTTACAGCTGGACAGCCCAACAGATAATTCACATCTCCTACATGCCACCACGTGCCATGCAGAAGCTGGGGGGGCATTTGTGGGAACCGAATTAAATCACCCTAGGTCAAATAATTCCTTCCATTTGGGGATTATTTGACCTAATTGGGAGTTACTCAATTTAATTGGGAGTTACCCAATTAAATTGGCAATTACCTAATTAAAATGGGGATTGATTTGATTCCTACCCCAATTAGGGATTTGATTTAAATCAAATAAATCAAATCCCTAATTAATCAAATCTCGCCTAATCGGGAAGGAATAATTCCTTTCCATCTACGGAATTATTCCTCTGAAACCCTATCCTCCGAGGCTCCTATAAATACCTAGCTATACACAAGGGTTCAGGTACGTCTAAACTCCTACTGAAACTCTGCAGAAATTATCCTTCACAAACCCTAGCCACCATCTTCTTTCTCTCTCTCTCACACAAGGCTCCGGCCTCCACACACGGCTCCGGCCACCCGGTTTTCCTTGAAACACCCATCCTAACTTAGGCATCGGAGGGCCTTTAGCCAACACCCCCCGGGTGTGGTCCTTTTACTCCGATCTGTTTTGCAGGGAGAGAAAGGTGCGAAGAAGACTAAGGAATCTTTAGGTGAATATTCTCGTGGGAGGAAATTTGCTCCCACAAAATCCTTTTTAGTTATTTTGATCATAAGGTACTGAACCTGATTACAAGTTTGTTGAATTTAGTATCAAACAACTGTCCCCGTGAACTTGAATTTTAAGCAGTTCAATAAGACTTGAATTTTAATATCATATGCTGGTAATAAACAGATTTTGTAATCATTAATTAATCTCTCTTCTTTTTATATTGTTTATTCTTTTTAAGCACTTATTTTTGTTGATATAATATCGGCCAGATTTGGAAGTGTTATGGTCATACTGATACTAAGGTTTTTTTGTTATATATTTGTTTCTTTACAAGACATTCATGGTGACAAGAAATGGAAAATGAATATATTACCCGAAGAACTATGCACCATTAAATTTTCTTATGCTAACAAGTTCAGTCTTAAGGCATCAAAGTTGACTGTTTATGAATTTCTACTCTTGCTCAAGATACGATAACCAAAATGATTAATAGTCTAGTACTTGTCGTACTACAAGATTCTTCTACAGTTATCCTATTTCCAGAGAGAGGGAGTCTCTCTCGTCTCATTCAGGCATTGCGTCTCTCTCGCTCTCTTCTCTCTGTGCCCTGTGAATTTTCTATGCTTTTTCATTTTTGGAGAAGGAAGGACACGAAAGGGCAGACTTCATTCACAGTCTTTTTGGCGGGTACACATCCACTTTTTTAGATGGTCCGGTAGCACAAAAAATGGAGACATTGGGAAATCATATAGCCGCCAGTTTAATGAGTTCATTTACTTAGAAATTGTATATGATTCATTGTTTATGACTAGCTTAATTTGTGTTAAGACCATACTATTGACACTATATTTTTGTTATGATACTTTATTTTTTCAAAAATAATTTTTATGGTGTGATGGAAACATATTTCACACAAAAAATATGTAAAAGAAAGTGAAAGTAATTTTTTTTTTTAATACCAAACACTTGAATAGAAAAGTCATTTCAACATAATGCCATTTTTAGTCATTATACACAGCTAACAAAATTTTCACACAAAAATATACCAAACACTCATAAACTGATTATTATAACAACATCAATTTTAACAAAAAGTTTACAAAACACCAAACTGTTTTCTTTCACAGCTAATTTCTCTCACAACAAATTTGATATCGATTATTTCCAAACTGGCCCTAACTAGACACATTTGACAAAGTTGGAGTTGGAGTTCGACTAGTGTTGATCGAATTCTTATTTTGATTGATCAATTTTAAGAATATTCGACCTATAGAGTTTTGCTTCGAGATATTTTTTGGCTCATACAACATAAAATGAGACGTTGTGCGATAGGCTCTTATTAATTCTTATATTTTAGACATAAACTTATTTATTAACTTCTATGAAAAACTCAAATTTGAATGTAGGTTAATAATTGTCCTAGTATTATAAAATATTTATAGACTATTTCATCTATCTTAATTGTCAAATCCCTTATTTTTAGCATTTATATAATTTCTTTTAATTTGGAGGAACCTATTCAATAATAAGACGTTTTAGCCAAAAATAATCAATGACCACACCAATATACATAAATAATAATACACCTAATACGTATGTACAAAATAATAATAATAATAATATAGATAAACAAACAATGAAAATATGCCTCATTCAACCAAGGTGGTTGGTGTGAGTGGTTCGGCACTCTCATTCCTTAAGAGAGGTCAGGGATTCGATCCTTGTTCTTGTATGGAGTCACCACTTTGGCCAGCACTTTACCCCTTACGGGCCGATCCGGTGTGAGCGGGGATTAGTCTGAGTTGTGGTTAAAGCTTAAAGGTGCCACCCATAGTTGGGGCCCATCCAGGACCACCTCGTGATTCAGACAAAAAAAAAACAAATGCCTCATTCAAATTAATCTTTTTTTTAAAGTACGAATTAATATTTTTGCCTACAAAGTATTGATTAGGTAATTGTATTATGGTGATATATGCCAAAAAAAATACCTACATATCTAATACATGATAGGTAAATATTCATGTAGAAAAAAATAGGTACATTATTTAGATATAAAAAGTGAGAAACTAAGAGCATCCATAATGGAGGGGTGTATATGGGGGTGTATGTTAAATATACACCCCGAGTCACCGGAATCGTCTCCAATGGGGAGATGTAAATGGATGTAAATATACATCACCACCATGGGGATGTAAAATAAAATGTATATTTACATCTATTTTTACATCCCTTGCAGGCGGGACCCACCCGAGAAAAGAGAAGAAAAATGAAGAAAAGTCAACATAAAAGGCTGGAACCCACGGCTACACCCCCGAATTTACACCCCCCACTGGAGCAAAAAACATATTTACACCCCCCGGAGGTGTAAAAGGGATGTAAAAGTGGCTTTACACCCCCAAATTTACATCCCTCCATTGTGGATGCTCTAAGAACCAAGAACCAAAGTGACAAAAAAGTTAGATATAAAGAATAGGGTTTTCTCGGCTTTTTCTAAGGGCTCTGCCTCGGAGATGGCCTTAAAGTGACAAACTAAGAACCAAAGGCCCATATAAACCCCAACCGGGCCTCAGAATTGGACCGCACCAAGGCACCTGAGTGGCACCTCCTCATCATTGACCACAAAATATCACTCTCTAAACATCATCTTCAACTCATCTCACCATCATCTACCTCCACCACAACCCAAACAAGCAATGCAAGCAGCCTTGGCAGCTATGGCAGCCCACACTGTGATGCTCTCAACCTACTCATCTCCCACTCTCTTCTCCCAAATTCAAAGCCCTAACTCTCACCCACTTCCTCACTCCTCCTTCCATGGCCTCTCTGTTAAGCTCCCACTCAAATCCCAATTCCAATCCATGTTTCTGGCCGCAGCCCATAAGCCTCTCACTGTGGTTGCTGCCACCGAGAAAGCTGTCGCTGTCCCTAAGCCTCTCACTGTGGTTGCCGCCACCAAGAAAGCCGTCGCTGTCCTCAAGGGAAATTCCAGTGTCGAAGGGGTCGTCACCTTGAGCCAAGAGGACGATGGTCTCTTCTTATGCCTACCCTTCATTCCCCTTATATCTTTGATTTTCTAATCGAAATCTGCTTTTTCTTCTTTTCTTCTCTCACTTGGGTTTTTTTATAGTGTTTCCGAGAATTGGTTTATTTTATCCTAACTTGTCAATTCTGCTTGGTTCCTTTCTTACATTCTCTATGTCTGAGGGAATGAAAATGTGGAAAAAATGATGTGTTGGTGGAAGCTTTAGCGGATTATAACTAAATTTTAGTTCTGAATTATTGGGTAGTGAATAGGTTCTTTATCTTAAATCATTAGTCCAATGTATAAATTTTCTTGTTTCTAAATTTGACTTCTCTTTGTTGACAATTATGAAAATGGGGGTAGTCAACTTTTTCAAAGTTGAGTTTATATTTGATTTAGTTTCTTGCTGTTTCAATGCTTCCTTTAATTGTGAGTGAGTGGTCGGAATTCCATGCTCAAAAGCTTAGGTGTGAAGGTGGTCTGAACTCATAATTTCAATGGCATTTGATGGTGCAATGACTGCTCATCACTGATCGTGTTGTACTGTTCCTAGGGCCTACAACTGTGAATGTTCGTATTACTGGACTTACTCCTGGGCCTCATGGGTTCCACTTAGTGAGTGTTTCTGCATTACCTTCTGTCATCTGTGGATTAGTAAACTTGCAACACCTAAGTGTTTTTCTTTCTTGTGTAGCATGAGTACGGTGACACAACAAATGGATGCATATCCACAGGTACGGCTTGCTTTCTTTTCAAGCTTAAACTGTTAAAGTTATAATATTTCAGTTGATGTAGTTATATTTGTGATTCTTTTTTGAAGCCATTGTAATGAATTTATCTTTTCCTTATAACTTTGCAATTAATTCTAAATATTAGGACCACATTTCAATCCTAAAAGTTTGACTCATGGTGCTCCTGAGGATGAAATCCGTCATGCGGGTGACCTGGGAAACATAGTTGCTAATGCCGATGGTAATTCATTTTTTAAATTCATTTACAAATTTGTTTCAATCTTCCATACCAGTTAATTTGCTAAGAGATATATTGTGGGGATGCAGGGGTGGCAGAGGTAACAATCGTGGATAACCAGGTAATCATTAAACTTGGGTAATGTTCTTCTATAAGAATGTTTGTAAGCTCAGGGCATGCTTATCTTTATTTTCATACAGGTTTGGTTATGGTGTCTGACAATTTTTATGTTCACACTTTGTACTGTGTTTCCACCCAAGTAGTATATGATTACTCAGTTTTTGGTTTTGTCTTAAATTTGTAGATTTCATTAACTGGTCCTGATGCTGTAATTGGAAGAGCACTTGTTGTTCATGAGCTTGAGGATGACCTTGGAAAGGGTAAGTATGTCTGTAATCTAGCTTGTGGAAGAAACTTTTTAGTACATTTAAAGGATGAGTAGGGCAAAATTTACATGCAATGGTTTGTATGGTTGAACTAACCAGTTGGTGGGTAAAGACAAGAAATTTAAACAGAAAAAGTTGTCTCCTCCCTTCCCTTGTTCTTTTTTGGGGGATGGAGGAGAAGCAAGCTTTTAGCATAAGACCGACCCCCTATGTGAGTTTAGGGTCAGGGAACTTTGTTACTAACTTTGATGCTTCTTTCAAATTCTTCTTATTTCTTTCCTCAATCACATTTGGGTTGCATTTGTAGGTGGACACGAGCTTAGTCTAAGCACTGGCAATGCAGGTGGAAGATTGGCATGTGGTAAGCAAGAAAATTCGGATTCACGTTTATTTGTCTTTTCTTCAGTCCCTTTTCTGTTTTCCTGTTTGGAAGAAGATTATATGTTGTTTATTGCTCCTTTATGTAATTGTGAATTGGAAGAGTATGATAAGTTAATGATGATGAATAATTTTTTTTGGGAAATAGGGTAATTATTTCATTAGACATGGACCATTGTACATAACAAATGATTCATAATGTGATTTTGATTACTTGCTTCAAGTTTATTCCGCCTCAATCATTAATTTTATTTATTTATTTGTTGAACTAATAGGTGCTCGATTTAGCGATATAAAAATAATTTGATTACTGTAAATTTTTATTATATGTGAAAAAAGATTTTAAAAAAATGCCCGTATGTCTTACCTGTATTAAGGTACTGTAAAATTTGATATTGTGATCAACAAGTTTGTTATGCATTGAAACTTGGGAAACATCATACCTTTTGTCAACATTCTTTTGGGTGAATTTGGGGGAGAATGTTATATTTATGCATGTCTTTATGTCTGCAAATACTATACTATAGCATTAGAAACCCTTCCAAGACGATCAACTAACCATTTTCCATGTTTAATTGGGGTCTTGAGAAACCTCTATATAATAAAAAAATCACTGTTTTGCTTTAGTTTGTAAATATGGATAATGAGAATTGACTCTTTTGGGTTCGAATGTGAAGATGAACTGGCCTCAGATAAAAATTAGAAAAAGGTATACAGGCTGTGTTTTCAGTTGAATTATATCCAAAACTCTGTAATCGTCTTAATAATACACAGCCAACTAATTTAATTAAAAACACAGAAATGATAAGCTCCAGTTCTTACATATGCTGATGAAATCTTTCATGTCCCAATCTATGGGTGGAAATTGTTATTTGCCCCAACATCTGGATGCCTGTTGCAATTTAAAATAATTGAAGGACTTAAGCCAACTCACAAGGTCACCTAAAAAACTGCCACTTCTTTTGTTGGGCACAACTGGGTTTGGTCAAACCGTTTGGGTATAGGGTCATCTGAGATACTAGGTGGATTAATGGCTAGGTTCTAAAGGGTACATTCATGAGGCTGTTGAACATGTTTAATGGGTTTCGGTAACGGTTCATCAATTGCCATTATCCTAGGATTTATTTTTCTCATCATTAGCCTCATTAAGAAGGCTTTGAGAACCATTTGGAGCATCCCTCTCTGGTTTTCACTCTTTCCTATAAAACTGTAGTTCTAGTGAATTAGTGAGTGAACAAAGGTTGAGAGTGAGTATTTTGTGCCTTTCATTCTGGTTATGGTAATGGCAGTCTACTCTTTCATTATTTGTTCTATCACTTGCTGCTCTATATAATAGGCTTTAGTCACAACATTATAGGTAGACGTATAACAGAGATACTTGGATTAGGCATGTACCAGCTGTGTTCAACATAGGAAGAATGGAACTAGTATATGATTTTCCGCTCCTTCTTAGCTAATAGGTAGACCCGTGAATGCCATTTCCCTGTGAAAAATGCTTTCACGCATCCTAGTTAGGATTAGGATGGTTAATTAGGTGATAATTTGTTTTATAGGAGTTAACTGAGTGATAATTGGGAATATAGTTTCTGATCTTTGCTGGATATGCTGTGTTTAGAAGCATCAAAAAGGAAAGTTTACTTTAGTTGTACAGATGCGTAGTGCTTCAAGTGCCGATATTAGTTGAACTTTCTTTTTGTGAACCCCGTAATCACATAATCACATCGTATTGTTGAGTTTTTTCTTGAACATGTTCTCCTGCAACACTGCAGCATATATGGAACTTCTTGGCTTGTTTCCATGATTTCATTAAATTCTCAATTTTCTTCATTTTTCTCGGCTTGCAGGTGTGGTTGGTTTGACACCAGTGTAACGACAAGATCCTTTTCAAATCAGTTTGGTTCGAAGATTTGGCTGCTGTGGTTCTAAAGTTTCTCATATAGTATATCTATTGAGTGTGTAATGTAATATTATGGACAAGGTCATTATAATATTTGTGGAATATTTTGATCTCAATAAACTTGAGTTGCTATGGTTGCATTATGAGAGTGGAGAACTTGCTTTTGACTTTTGAAAGCAGTAAGATTGGATTAATGATGCCCTTTATCCCATAAGAGTGAGCATGATTCTAGTCTTTTTACTGGAGTGAAAACCTAACCGATATGTGCAAAGAGTGATGCAAGAGTGGGAGACTAAGCTTTGTTTTTTCTTTTTCGGTACAAGGGAAAGATGAACGGTGAGGAAGGCTCAGTTTTGTTTTATGTTTTTTCTATTTTGGACTTGGGAAGAGCCATGAAAGGGCACGAGGCACAGTTTTTTCGTTGTCTTTTTCTAGGTTTGTTTAACGGCGTAGGACCAAAGGTGAAGTGGCATAGCAAACTTCCAATCTTGAACCTCAGCTGCTCAAGCAACTTGCTTTATCTTCTTTCAACTTGTTTGAACATTCTAACAATCTGTTCACCTGCTCTAATCCAATCCATTAGCAAATGATAAAATCGTACAAAGTGAATCCATCGCCCGTTCAAGAACCTTTTAACCTAAAAATCATTTGGGTAAAAAAATTAATTTGTCAAAGATTCAATGGAGTCCACATTGATAATTAATGTCTCTCAGAGCTGTGCCCTAATATCATGGACTATGCGAATGTGAGCGATCCTTTTAACCTAAAAATCATTTGGGTAAAAAAATTAATTTGTCAAAGATTCAATGGAGTCCACATTGATAATTAATGTCTCTTAGAGCTGTGCCCTAATATCATGGACTATGCGAATGTGAGCGATTGTGAACCATTGATCTAGTGGGGAGAATTTGAATTCAGAACTATGTTAGCAATTTCTCTTTTATCACATTATAATGATCGGAGAATTTGAATTCAGAACCTTGAATAACGGTAAATGCTCTTAATTAATATAACTGCAAGCCCTCATGATGCTAGGATATTTTTAATTTTGATTCTTCATAGATAAATTATGAATCTTTTGGGAGCAGAAAAACTTTCTTGTAATGGGGATATCACTGTTTTGCTATTCATGGCCAATAATGTAATGGCCCGTGAAAAAGTTATCCAGTTTGTCATTGCTCTATTCACCGAAGATAGCAAAAGTGTTATCCTGTTACATGAAAGTTTGTTTTTTTTTTGGTGAGGGGACACCCGACACCCTAATAATCTCTCTCAACTCCAAAACTACTTGTAGTTAGTTGATAGTGATTAGTCAACTTTAAATCACGATTTCTTTTACATTTGTTGGGGTCCTATAAACTAGGCTTAGTAGGCTTAGCCAATGCTTTTTAGTTAACACGTGGCTAGTAAGTGGTGCAGTTCATGCCATCATTCTGGTAAGAGCAGCCAACAAACTACTACACCTGCATGCATCATATCTAGCCAACATCTCATGAAAAGGCACTGCCGGTCCTAGCATTAAATTGAAATTAATTTTTAGTTTCTTTGAAGGTATTTCAAGCAACCATATAGCAGGTTCGAAGGTCATTTGGCAGTGAGACTCGGTTTTCACTTTATTTGAAGAGGTTTCGAGTTCAAATTTTATAGACGATAATTGTTGAATAAAATAAAACAATCGAGTCAAAAGCATAATATCCACACAATTTATATTAAGATCCAACTCATTATTAAGGCTCCATCCTATCCCACCGGCCATCTAACGTGTTGGGCTAAAAGTGACCAAGTCATGAGGCAGGTATCAAAATACGATTAGTACTAAAAAGAGTATGAGTATGTAAGAGCCTAATTTGAAGGTAAGTTTGGCACAAAGTCCTTGTGGTTGTGGTTAGAGGGAAAGCCTTAATTATTATTATTTTTCCTTTTAATTATCTTATATATTATCTTCTTCTATGTGCATTAGTTCTAACTTCCATCAAACACATGACTTTCTGTACTAATTAAAGTCATCACTATTACTAGTGCCCACTAATTATCTCAACCAGAGAGAGAGAGAGAGAGAGAGAGATATATATGATTCTTGAGATTGCTTTAAATGGCAGCGTTGAGCTTTTTCTGTGTGTCCTTTTGTTAGGCTTTTGGGTGATAAATAGTCAAGAGTGTAATGCTACACTGAGTCATGTTTCGTGACGTTGGTGTAATGAAAACAATTTGTTAGTAGTTTCATGCAATACGTAACCCTATTTGATCCTTCTTCTTTTTGTAAAATAATGCATGCGAAGATGGTAGAAGTTTTTGCTTTTTGGGTAAGGAAGATCATGAAATTCCTGCATATAGTTTTACCACGAATTCTAATGGTAGCTCTTTGAGTAAATGGTTCCAAGAATGGAAATTAATGTTCCTATTTTACCACAAACATGTTTGGTAAACCTATAATGAAATTTAAACACAAAATTTAATATCTTCTTAGAGGGCATGAATCTATAATGAGATGTGGTGATTAACAGATGTGTTAATAGCGGGGGTCGTAATATAATTGTATCTATTGGAGAAATTATATCGTACTACCACGTCAGTCGGTGATACTCCCACTCAAAATTTGACATGTAAAATCTAAAATTTATATAATGTGATTCGGCGCTTGTTTTATATAATATTAACAGTACTGATCTCTTGGACCACAGGAGTCCAAGAAATTGTGGTCACCTACCATTGGATATTAATCCAATGGTTCAAAAAGGTTTCTTAAAAGGAGTGCAAGAGTGAGTGAACCGTTGGATGTAACCACAAATCTCTTGGACCCCTGTGGTCGAGAAATTATATAATGATACGGTATCACCACGTCAGCTGGTGATACTCCCACTTAAGATCTACCACAAATTGTTATTCAAATGTAGTTGGAAACATTGACGTGTCAATTAAATACAAAACATATGTTGTAATATTGTTTACCAAACCATAAAGGGTCAACCTTCCTTATTTTGTAAATTTCATGTTCACAAATCTTCTATTTAGTGTATAACCTGCATAAATAGGTCATAATTCAAAATCTAAAACATTATGCTCAGACTTTGAATAAATTCTATATTCGCATTATCAGCTGCAGTCTTGCCACTATTAGACTCAATCATTCATTCTTTTGATAAGGTGAGAATTCTTTGGTTTCCTCCACCACCCACACAACAACCATCCAATTCCGCATCACCAAACACCAAATTAATGGCTTCATTGCTCTCTTTCATTATCGTGTGCCTCACTCAACTGGCGAAATAAACTTTTCTGTGCCTGAGAATCGTTAGTGGGGTTGAATTTGTGATAGCAGTGTGCCCGAATTAGTTAAGTTTGGTCATATTATAAGAAAAAGTTCATGATAAAAATATGTTATATATGTTGCCTAACAGTTAGTTAAACTTAAACATGTACATTGGTATATTGTCAATTTAAGAGTGTGAATTATTATGTCATAAAAAACATGAACTGTCAATTTGAACATTAAAAGCATGAATTGTCATGTCATAAAAAACGTGCACAAAGATAGACAAACTATTCTCTCACCAAACAGTTTAATATGTATATTAGTATATTTTTGGTCCAGACATTAATTAAAGGGTGAATTCTAATTTTAATGTTTAGTTAGTAACAATCCCGATCTCTTGGACTATAGGGGTCCAAGAGATTTGTGGTCACTCACCGTTGGATAACGGTTCACTCGCTCTTACACTCCTTTTAAGAAACTTTTTTGAACCATTGGATTAATATCCAACGGTGGGTGACCACAATCTCTTGAACTTCTGTGGTCCAAGAGATCGGGATTGTAGTTAGTAAATATACATATCTTTGGCATTACTCTTACCACAAAAAAATTTGAAGTAAATTCAAAGTAGTAGTGTATGTGGTTCGCTTAGTCTGTCTGCAGTGTCCAGGCATGGTGTACTACCTACCAAAATATCATGAAGACTTTAGGCATCACTTTGTTTGCATTATCTTTAATAACAATTTTCAAATTGCAAAGACAGTTAGTTCACTGACAACCAAGAAAGAAAAAAAAAACTACCAAAAAAAGCAGATCTAGCGTGGTTTGTTAGCTTTTGATTATTTTATGAGGACGTGCTTGGTTGCAAAACACTTAGCTCTCATGACCATGAGTGGCTCACAAGTCACAAGCTTCTCACTCTCTCCCCAGGCAGTGACATCTCAACTGTTCAAAAAAGTGGAGTGAGTTTCAAGTCCCCAACCCCAGAGACTAAGTAAAGTACTCAATTCACAAAACTATATATTGAATTGGCTTATATATATGATGTAAGAGGAAATATGGTTAATTATAGTGTGAAAAATTAATTAAAATAAAGTGGCTCAAAGTTGAAAGGAAATTGTGTAAGAGAGGAAAATTCCAATTAAATGTCAATTATAGCGCTAGGAAAAAAAGTAAGGTGTATAGTTGGAATTTTCTGTCAAGATTTGTATTTAATTTAATATTTAATTTAATATTTTTAAGAATAAGTTATCTATTAGGATATTATTTTCCTAATATAATTTTATATATGATTTTTATTATTTTCTTGGTAGCTAAGTTCAGGAATATTTCCTTATATGTCGCTGCGTCAATATATATCTTAAGGTCTCCACTTTCTCCCTCCAACTCCAAACAACATGCACAACAAGGTACAATCACCAAATATAATTAAATTAGGATAATTTCGTCCCATGCTAATATTTTCTGAGGGACTTTCTTTGATCATTCAAACCAGAGTTTATTAGCTCTTTTTTCTTTGACCAACTCCAAACACATCAACAAAAATAACGAACAAACGAAGAGTTCAATAAATAACATGAGCATACTCGAAAACTTCATAAATAAACTACGGCCTTGCAGAGACTTCGTTCACTACCTTTGTAATTCATGTTGAGTATACAGTATATATGAAAAATGACAACTACAAACAATTTTGTAATATTTGTTTTATTTTTGCTTTGCCAACAAGCTTGCGGGTGGCCATGGCCAAGAGTGACTGTCCGTATTACCAACAAGCTAGGGGGCGGGCAAAGCATGAACATTCACTTCAAATCTGCGGACAATGATCTTGGCTTGCAAATTCTGGCAGACGATCAAGAAACTAGTTGGAGTTTTGACCCGAATATTTGGCAAACGACACGCTTTTATTGCAATGTGCAATGGGGTAACTCACCATGGTACAATATTTTGATGCCTTTATAGATAATAGACACTACTACAAAAAACACTTTGTGCGACGAAATAATTTTGTTGCGCAAAGTACAATTTCTACGTGACGAAATTTTGGTCGCGCAAAGATCGTAAAGAAAGGTTTTGCGCGATGAAAATTATTTTTTGTCGCGCAGAGATACTTTGCGCGACGAATACTATCAACTTTGCGCGACGAATATTAATTATAGAAAATTTGGCATAAGTCCAATTATGAGGAGAGATTTTGGGTGCAA